GATTTCTAATAAGCATGACAATAGTGTATTTTCTTGAATGTAATTTATATGGTGGAAGACATGTTGGATTTAAAGAGTTGAGATATTCTATCGGAATTGCTTCATATATGTCTTGATTATCTCCAGTTGTTTCAAGAGTATCTATACTTGTATAAACTCTTTCTGTCGTTTCATCCAATAAATTTACTACTTTTTCGTTTATTTCTTCAACATCGACATTTCTTGCAAATAATATAACGTAATTAGTCATAATTTGATATTGTTTACGTTTTATAATATCTTCATACATGTCTTTAACTATGTTCGAATTTGCATTTGCTATACATTTTTCTGGAATACAAATATTTTCTGAATGATCATTTAAAGAACCATTATTTATTTAAGTAAAATTTAGTAAAAATTGTGCAAATTCTTTTTCCTGTGGTAAAGTTCTCATATTTTGTGTCAATGAAAATATCTTAAATTGCTTCCAAAGAATACTAAATTTTATCGATAAATTTATAATTTCGCGATTTATATAACGCGTTGCTTTTTCTTTAACGGGTAATAATTGTCTGAAATCCCCACAAGAAGAACAATTTTACCACCAAAATATAAATCATTTTGCATTATATCACGTAATGTTCGATCTATTATTTCTAATACATAGCGTGGTGCCATAGGGGCTTCTATAATGAAAACATCTACAAGTTTTAAATTTTTAGCTTCTTTAGATTGAACTTTAATGTTCGATGTAGAATCGCTGAAAAGAAGTACAGATAACCCAAAAACTTTGTGTTTTTCTATTGGAAGTAATGTTGAGTACCGGTAAATGCCATCGTAGTAACTATTTTGCCTCTACTTTTAAGTAGATAATACAAGGTTGTATAAATGAACGTTTTACCAGACCCACCTGGACTATCAATATAAAAATATTTCTCACTATTATTATTTGTTGTTGTTATTAAAATAGTATCAACAATTTCTTTTTGTTCTGTATGTAATTGTTCATATTGTCGCATACCTATTGATGTATCTTCTTCAATCTATTCTTCATTATTTATTTCTTGTTCCTCTATTTCTTGTTCCATTTCAGGAAAATTAGCAATATTTGATCCTTCTTTTTGAAGTAAATTAATAATATGATTATAAACTTTTTTCATTCCTATTATAGATCCAAATCGTCTTATATAATCTTCTGACATATCTTTTTTAAACTCATCCCATAACTTTGTCGGATGAACTGATTGACAATGAATTAAAATTCGTACGAATAAATTTCGAAGTCGTCTTGGCATCATCCAAACTTTTGCTTCATTCATTACACGATACCATTCATCATCATCTTCTATAAGTCCTAATGCTAAACACGCGGCAGTGAAAGTTTGATGTATTTCGTTATTAACTGTTTTTAATTCTTGAAAACTTGTAGTTCCTTTAACATATAGTAAAAGTATATGAAACGTAAATGAAACAATTCTATCTGAGACGGGCTGATGGTATACATACGACCAATACAATTAAAGTATCTTTGACTCCCAGCGATTAATAATTCTGCCATTAATTTTAATTTTTTTAAATACATAATGAGATAGAATATCACTGTATAAATATTGTTTTGCTTCTTCATCTCGAGCATTTAATTCAAAATAATTTAATAACATTGTTACTCGTTCTACAGCAGATCTTATTGTATCATTATTAATATTATCATCGATTATTACATTATGTTAATTTGATAAATGAATTAGTAAACGAAATATAGCGTGACTTTTTTCTTGCAAAGGTTTACTTAAAATACGCCAAGATGCTTCCATGGGTCCAACACATCGAGCTTCAATAAAATCTTGAATTTCATCATGATTTATAGTTTTATCTACATTTTCTCCAATAACTACGGATGCAGAATCATGACCTTTATAAATATATTTATATAAATATTTTACAGATCGTATACTCGAAACTATTTCAACATTAATATGACTATTGAATAAAAATAAGAGCGTTGGATTAAATGGAACAACATATCGATTATCAACAACATATCGTCCAGGTCTTTCGTATAGCAATCCATTATTTCTTCGATGATATCGCGGATAACCATCTTCATCCATAATTGTTTCAGATTGAAATGGTTTTGGAAAATGTTTCGAGCATTTATTATTTATCAAACACCAATCTCCATGGTCCATGAATCATATGTTTCATTACAATATTATGTAAACTTTTATTTTCATTAGAATCAGGAATTTCTGCAGAAATAAATTTATCAACTATTTCAGCATTTGCTATTTTATAATTCTGTTTTAAGATAATCAACAAATGTATATGTGGCAATCCACATATACATTTTTGAAATTCTATTACATAAACATATGCCAAAACATCACTAAAAATTTTTTGTCTAACAATAATATCGATTAAATAATCCTTTTTTATATTAAATACTCGAGCACTGCGACGCCGTCGCCCGCCTCGGGAACGCCGCTCCCGAGGAGGTGGCGTGCAAATTTGGCGGTGTCAGTAATTGACGGTATCGGGATATTAAAATGGCGGTAACGTACGGTAACAGAATCTCCCACAAAAAAAAAAAGGAGATAGAATATGGGCGCCAGGCGCGGTATTTCCGCGCCACGATAACGATACGGTAACGGCAAGATCCGGTAACCCCGGGCTCAGTATTTGGCAGAGGGGCAGAGTTCTTTGTGGATTAGATATCGAGAGAGAGCGCTAGACAGTATTTAGGAGAGAGAAATAATCGACAGTCAGTTATTTTACTTATAATTATCTAAATATATTAAACAATAATGGTACAGATAGTAACCGGTATAACAAAGATAAGATCAATATAATTGTTCGGGATCGCGCTTTCGATTCGCGAATTTTGTAAAACCGGATAAGCGCGATTGAACTTTGCCGGCACATACCCGCGGGGGTATCGCAAGCTCTCTCAGTGCGTGATCGCGTAAGGAATACTTGATAGGAATGAAATGATATGCAGTTGCGACTTAATGTGTTACAGTAAGACCGGTGAGCGAATTACTGTCCGTTTATTGTTAAAGTCACAAAATGATACACGTTTGCTGGTCTCAAGACGCGATGTAGGGTGAGAGCGCACCACTACGCGGATCGCGTGAGAGCGAGCGAGACAGCTATCGATCAGCTGTTAGCGAGATCGAGCGAGACGGCGCTATATCGGCCGTTCGCTTGAGAGCGAGCGAGACGGCGCTATATCGGCCGTTCGCGTGAGAGCGAGCGAGACGGCGTTATGCCGCTCGGATAAGCGTTTGAGCGAGACCGCACTATACACGTCAGTCCGCTGGTCCGATATAGATAGAATGAATATTGCTATCTGCGAATACGCGAACCGCACTGTTCACGACTTGACACAAATGCGAGAGAGACGACGTTATGCCGCTTGTACTAGAGTTCGAGCGAGACCGCACTATACACGTCGGTTCGCCACGAATGCGAGAGAGACGGCGTTATGCCGTTCGTACTAGAGTTCGAGCGAGACCGCACTATACACGTCGGTTCGCCCAATGTTGAGATAGATAGCTGACTTGTGGCTATCTATGCATACGCGAAACCGCACTGTTCACGGCTCGCCACGAATGCGAGAGAGACGGCGTTATGCCGCTCGTACTAGAGTTCGAGCGAGACCGCACTCTACACGTCGGTTCGCCACGAATGCGAGAGAGACGGCGTTATGCCGTTCGTACTAGAGTTCGAGCGAGACCGCACTATACACGTCGGTTCGCCACGAATGCGAGAGAGACGGCGTTATGCCGTTCGTACTAGAGTTCGAGCGAGACCGCACTATACACGTCGGTTCGCCCAATGTTGAGATAGATAGCTGACTTGTGGCTATCTATGCATACGCGAAACCGCACTGTTCACGGCTCGCCACGAATGCGAGAGAGACGGCGTTATGCCGCTCGTACTAGAGTTCGAGCGAGACCGCACTATACACGACTCGCCACGAATGCGAGAGAGACGGCGTTATGCCGCTCGTACTAGAGTTCGAGCGAGACCGCACTATACACGTCGGTTCGCCCAATGTTGAGATAGATAGCTGACTTGTGGCTATCTATGCATACGCGAAACCGCACTGTTCACGGCTCGCGGGAGAGTGAGCGAGACGGCGCTCTATCGGCCGTTCGCGGGAGAGCGAGAGAGACGCCCAGTTCGCTTGAACGGAGTTGCAGTACGACGAAGGCTCCGCCTCTGGCTGAGAGTGGAGGCGCTCCGAAAGATCCCGGCACTCGCGTTTGAACTGTTCACGTGCACTGCGGACACGATTACTGGCGCGCACAATGTTACTTCGCGAAACTGTTACAATGATTGAGGCTCGCGGTTTAAGGATTTCGCACGCGTGAGACTAATGAAACGAATCTTAACTTTGCTCGTTAAGATTATCGCGAACTCTCGAATTTGCACTATTTTTACTCTCCGTATGACGCTCCGATCACTATGATGGAAAACGGAAGACTCTCGGGGAGAAAGCCTTTCTCCCGATAGATAAAGATTTGATCACGGATCGTATGATCGGACCTCGACGTATCCCTGATCATTACGTCAGATCGCGTGATATGTAAGCCTGTTTATTGGCCAGGACCGTGTATTATTTCGCGTGATCACGCGGATCCTGGATGATTTTTGAAAAACAGTAACGGCGTACTTGAACGCGGGTTCGATAGCGCGCAAACGGATGGCGCTAGTATGACCGGGGGTAATAATTTTATGCGCGATTTAGGGCAAATCCTAAACATACCGCCCGCCTCGAAATTATAATTTCGAAAGTAAAGAGTTATCGGATGCCGCCCGCCGTGAGCGACTGATATCGCATCGGAGCGATTTTCCAGGTTTATGAATACATATGTACATATTTACAGGAACGCAGATTTACATATTTACATTATTACAAATTATTAGTATATACATATGTACATCGGTGTATTTACATATTTACATGCGTCCGCTTTGACGTATTCACGTCTTGAATTGTGGCTGCGTGAACCTCAATTATCGCTCGGAGAACCGTTAGTCGAAGACTCGATATCGATGGGTAGTAAGCATAGCTTAACTATCGGCCGTTTATATTCAGAATGAGCGGTGCGCACGGTAACGACGCGAACGTAGCCGTCGGATCCGAGATGACATTGTGTGATCCGACCTAGCTCCCATTTGCACGGCGGAAGCAACGGATTACGAATTAATACCATTAAGCCAGGCTTCACAGACGGTTGTACTTGCTTCCATTTAACTCGCTGTTGTAAAGTATTGACGTAATCGCTCTGCCAGATTTTCCAAAATTGCTCTGTCAATTGACGAATTAATTGCCAACGCGAGAGTCGACTTTCATTTACGGAGAGAATGGACGGTTCGGGATTCACCGTGATGGGAGATCCGATTAAGAAATGCCCCGGTGTAAGGGGGTTATAATCGTCGAAAGTATCTGTAAGCGGACCGATGGGCCGAGAATTGAGGCAAGCCTCGATGCGGCATAACAGAGTAGAAAATTCCTCATACGTGAGAGTGTGAGGGCCCAAAATTCGTCTAAGATGATGCTTGACACTGCGAACTCCGGCCTCCCAAAGACCGCCGAAATGCGGAGCATGGGGAGGAATGAACTGCCAGCTAATGTTATCGGTGGCAATTTTGCTCTGGAACTCGGGGTTGCGCATTGCGCTCTGATAAGCTTTTGTCAATTCAGCGTCGGCTCCTGCGAACGTCGTACCGTTATCAGAGTACATTGTGGAAGGTAAACCTCGGCGAGCACAAAACCGAGAAAAGGCGTTGAGAAACGCTTCGGTGGAGTAATTACTGGCTAACTCCAAATGAATTGCTCTGGAGGCCAAGCAGACAAACAACACAATGTAACCCTTTCGGGACGTAATGCCGCGACCTGCGGATGCGCGAGTAAAAATGGGGCCCGCGTAGTCCACTCCAGAATGGCTGAAAGCTCGAGCGGGTGTAGAGATTCGAGCTTGTGGAAGGTCGCCCATTAGCTGTGTCGGAACTTCTGCTCTTTCTCGGGCGCATGTAACGCATTGATGTATGATTTGCTTGACCTGAGTTCGCGCTTGGAGAATCCAGTAGTCTTGGCGTATTGTTGCTAATGTCAATTGAACGCCTGCGTGTAATGCTCGAATATGAGTGTGTCTGATGATAAGTTTGACTAATGGATGCGGAGCTAGAAGTATCGGATGCTTCGTCGCGAATGAAAGATTGGAATGTTTTAGACGACCGCCGATTCTTATTAAATGATCTTCATCCAGGAAAGGTCGAAGCATAGCTAACGCTGATTTTGATGGAAGTGATTGCTGTTTCCTGAGAGCGTCCAATTCGTCACTGAAAACGTCTGACTGGATTGATCTAATCCAAAATTTGCGTGCGGTCTGAAATTCACTTGCCGTCAAAGATTGGCTTTGCACCTCTGAGTCAGTTGAAGTTTGATCTCTCTTTCGGCATCTGGTTGCGAAGCGGATAGTATATGCTGTAATTCTGATTAGCTTCGGCCACGTGGAGTATCTTGTGGCTAAATCCCAGCCAGAATCTGTTTGAGCTACGTGTACCATAAGTTTCTGATTCTCCTCAGGCGCTTCTTCCAGTAGAGGAGCGGGATCTCTTGGCCATTTGGTCTGAGTTAGTTTGAGCCAGGGAGGACCGTGCCACCACAGGTTAAAGGCATTGAAATCAGAATGTAGAATACCTCTCGAAGCACAATCGGCTGGGTTATCCGCGGATGGAATGTACCGCCATTTAACTTCAGGTAATCGAGATTGGATATCTGCGACTCGATGAGAGACGAAGGTTTTCCATCTGGACGGATGTGAGTTTAACCATGCCAATACTACTGTAGAGTCCGTCCAACAATGACACGCGACGTTTGACATCTGGAGTGAGGATTGCGTGAACTCGATCAACCGAGCAAGAAGGCATGCTGCTTGTAATTCCAATCGAGGGATGCTTGTGATCTTGAGTGGCGCGACTTTCGACTTGCCCGCTAATAAGGTGATCTTTATCTCTCCTGATTGCGAGGTCGTATGCATATAAACTGCGGCGGCGTATGCCGCGTTAGATGCATCTGCAAATCCGTGTAACTCGCATAACGCAGTACTGTCATCTTGACATGTCCATCTCGGAATCTGTAAATTATTTAAGGCCGATAGGTTGTGGTATATTGATTCCCAGCGCTGAAGTGTTTGTGACGGAATGGCGTCGTCCCAGTTTAATTTTAATCTCCACAAATGTTGCATGAAGATTTTCGCGTTGATCGTAACGGGGGTGACCCATCCTAATGGATCGAATAATCGAGCGATCGTTGATAGTATCTTCCTTTTCGTATCTGGAAGTGTCGGTGAGAGATCCACGCGAAATTGGAAAGTGTCATAGGCGGGATTCCATGTTAATCCTAGAACACTGAAATTTTCTTCGAAAGTTAGCCATCTGTTTCCGGCGAGTCCGTGACATTCTTCCGGAATGTCTGCTAGTAATGCGGAGTTGTTGCTGGCCCATTTTCGTAAAGTAAATCTGCCGCGAGACAGCAGAGAGCAGAGTTGTTCGCGGACTTGACGCAGCACTGATATGTCATTGGCTCCGAAAAGAACGTCATCAACGTAAATATCATCTTGAAGAATCGGAGTTGCAAGGGGAAATGCGGCTCCTTCGTCTGTTATCAATTGCTTGATCACTCGTAAAGCCAGGAACGGAGCTGACGCGGTTCCATACGTAACAGTGGACAATTGATAATCCTGAATGTCCGATTGATCCTGATTATACCAGACAATACGTTGATAGTCACGATCACGAGGGTCGACCAAAATCTGTCGGTACATCTTGGCAATATCCGCCATGTAAACATACTTATGTTTCCGCCATCGTAATAAGATCGCCGTTATTTCCGTTTGTAATTTAGGCCCGATCTCTAAATGTGAATTTAACGATGTACCGTTTGTTGTGAGGCTGGACGCGTTGAACACGACGCGCAGTCTAGTGGTAGCGCTCGTTGCGCGGATCACAGGATGATGCGGAAGATAAACCGCCGGTGAATGAGATGCGGTTGGAGGATGCACTCTTTTCATGTGTTTTAACTGCTCGTATTCTTCAAGAAACGCTGAATATTCCGATTTGAGATCTGGATTCGTATCTAGACGCCTTTTTAATGCTGTTAGTCTCCGTATAGCTATTGATCTAGACTCTCCGATGTCGATAGGGAACTTCGTCTTAAACGGCAGACGAACCACGTAACGCCCGTCGGAAATTCGTGAGTGAGTCGTAAGAAAATGTTTCTCACATTGTTCTTCGGCAGGAGACAAAATGTTATAGCGTGGGATCTCTTCGATTTCCCAAAAACGGCGTAACTCACGCTCGATGGAGCAATGAAAGACGTTAATCGTTTGAGCCAAAACGTTTGGATTCTGAGCGGGTCCAGAGATAATCCATCCAAAATGAGATCGCTGGGCGATAGGTTGCCCGATTGGACCTTTCCGTATTCCATTCGTAATGATTTGACTGTAAATGTCGGCGCCGATGATTACGTCAATAGGGCTTGATCCTGTGGGATCGTCGTCTGCTAACTTGAGTGTACTTATATGTCTCCAATCCGATACTGAGACTGATAATCGCGGCGCGTATTTAGTAAGCGCATTTAGAATATACGCGACCGTAGTGAAAACTGGCTTAGGCTTTCCGCGAGGTGCGAATTCAATGACAGCGGAATGTCGACATGTATCCGCATTGATACCGCCGACTGCGGAAATTTGAGCGAAAATTCGTTTCCGAGGTAAACGCAAGATTCTTGCTAATCTTGCTGAAATAAAAGTGACCTCTGACCCTTGATCGATCAGGGCGCGAGCTTCACAGACGCGACCGTCGGGAGACCGAACTGTTACTTTCGCTGTGGCCAGTAATACGGATGACACGGGTGCACTTGAACATACGGCGGACATCGCGACGGTTTGCGACGGCTCGATTTTTTCCACAGTGTCGCTGGTGCTAGACGTGTTCGCTCGTGTAACGTCTAGATCGCTTGAAGAGGCCGAATCAAGATGCAAGAGAGAATGATGCCTTTTTTAACAAATGCGACATGTATTTTTACTTTGGCAGTTTTTTACGGAATGTTTCGTTCCGAGACAATTGAAGCATAGATTTGAATTCTTGACAATTTCGCGTCTCTGATTCGGACTCTTAATTACAAATTGTTGACACCTACTAAGATAATGCGGTGTCTTACAGACTGGACACGGACCGGAAGATTGACGCGCGAAGGTCGCAGTGTTCGCTTGAACAGTATGTCGACCTTTGTTTGCAGCGGAAGGAGCTAATTCCTCTAATGCGAGCGCACGCGATGATATAAACGTAATCAAGTCTTCGTAATTCGGCGGAGTCGATTCCGATCCGGCTTTGAGTTTCCATGCGCGACGAGTGGCGGAGTCAAGCGTGAGCGATACAAAATAGACTAAAATGTCATTAAGTATATCCTTTTGGGTTCGGTTTAACCGCTTTAAGGCTGAAAGCGCTCGATCGGTTTTATCGCGTAAAGCGTGCAATTCCGCGGCACATTCTTTGTTAACCGAAGGTAAATTGTATAATTCAGCAATGTGAAGTTCAACAAGTTTACGTTTATTTTCAAAACGAGAAGTTAATGCTTTCCAAGCGACGTCAAAATTATCAGCGGTAACAGAAGTACCCGCTACAACATCGCGAGCTTTATCGGTCAAGCTTGAGACCAAAAAATGCATGCGCGCGAAATCGGATAATTCGGGATTCTTTATGATTAACGCAGTGAATCGATCGCGAAAAGTTTCCCACTCGTCGGCTTTACCGGAGAACGGTGGTAATTGAATGGGCGGTAAATGTCTCAATGATAACGCGGATTCCGACTGTATATGAGATACAGATCGGTCGCTTGATTGGAGCGGACTCACGCACGGTTCCAGTTCCTCCAAACAGTCAGACATGTAGTCCAGTGCTGTCAAGTAGATTTCCTGGTATTGATCCAGTTGCTCGTCTCGGAAATAAGCGATGAGATCGCGTTTTGATTCCGGATAATGTTGCAGCAACAGGCGATGTCCTTCCAGGCAATTATTCCACGTTTCCTTGAGTGATGTCATTCGGTTTCGTATCTTGGCGGAGGTGAGATTATTCCGGCCAATTTTCTTGAAATTGTCCAATGCTTTCGCTACGAAGCGTAGCGTCGAAAGCTGATTTTCAACTAATTCACTCATTGTCACTGACAGTAGTCAAAACTTTCAAATTCACTCACAGTATTGTTATCACGCTGACTTCGAGCTCTTACGATCCGGCTCGAAGGACCAAAATGTTCGGGATCGCGCTTTCGATTCGCGAATTTTGTAAAACCGGATAAGCGCGATTGAACTTTGCCGGCACATACCCGCGGGGGTATCGCAAGCTCTCTCAGTGCGTGATCGCGTAAGGAATACTTGATAGGAATGAAATGATATGCAGTTGCGACTTAATGTGTTACAGTAAGACCGGTGAGCGAATTACTGTCCGTTTATTGTTAAAGTCACAAAATGATACACGTTTGCTGGTCTCAAGACGCGATGTAGGGTGAGAGCGCACCACTACGCGGATCGCGTGAGAGCGAGCGAGACAGCTATCGATCAGCTGTTAGCGAGATCGAGCGAGACGGCGCTATATCGGCCGTTCGCTTGAGAGCGAGCGAGACGGCGCTCTATCAGCCGTTCGCGTGAGAGCGAGCGAGACGGCGCTCTATCAGCCGTTCGCGTGAGAGCAAGCGAGACGGCGCTATATCGGCCGTTCGCGTGAGCGCGAGTGAGACGGCGCTATATCGGCCGTTCGCGTGAGAGCGAGCGAGACGGCGCTATATCGGCCGTTCGCGTGAGAGTGAGCGAGACGGCGCTATATCGGCCGTTCGCGTGAGAGCGAGCGAGACGGCGTTATGCCGCTCGGATAAGCGTTTGAGCGAGACCGCACTATACACGTCAGTCCGCTGGTCCGATATAGATAGAATGAATATTGCTATCTGCGAATACGCGAACCGCACTGTTCACGACTTGACACAAATGCGAGAGAGACGACGTTATGCCGCTTGTACTAGAGTTCGAGCGAGACCGCACTATACACGTCGGTTCGCCACGAATGCGAGAGAGACGGCGTTATGCCGTTCGTACTAGAGTTCGAGCGAGACCGCACTATACACGTCGGTTCGCCCAATGTTGAGATAGATAGCTGACTTGTGGCTATCTATGCATACGCGAAACCGCACTGTTCACGGCTCGCCACGAATGCGAGAGAGACGGCGTTATGCCGCTCGTACTAGAGTTCGAGCGAGACCGCACTCTACACGTCGGTTCGCCACGAATGCGAGAGAGACGGCGTTATGCCGTTCGTACTAGAGTTCGAGCGAGACCGCACTATACACGTCGGTTCGCCACGAATGCGAGAGAGACGGCGTTATGCCGTTCGTACTAGAGTTCGAGCGAGACCGCACTATACACGTCGGTTCGCCCAATGTTGAGATAGATAGCTGACTTGTGGCTATCTATGCATACGCGAAACCGCACTGTTCACGGCTCGCCACGAATGCGAGAGAGACGGCGTTATGCCGCTCGTACTAGAGTTCGAGCGAGACCGCACTATACACGACTCGCCACGAATGCGAGAGAGACGGCGTTATGCCGCTCGTACTAGAGTTCGAGCGAGACCGCACTATACACGTCGGTTCGCCCAATGTTGAGATAGATAGCTGACTTGTGGCTATCTATGCATACGCGAAACCGCACTGTTCACGGCTCGCGGGAGAGTGAGCGAGACGGCGCTCTATCGGCCGTTCGCGGGAGAGCGAGAGAGACGCCCAGTTCGCTTGAACGGAGTTGCGGTACGACGAAGGCTCCGCCTCTGGCTGAGAGTGGAGGCGCTCCGAAAGATCCCGGCACTCGCGTTTGAACTGTTCACGTGCACTGCGGACACGATTACTGGCGCGCACAATGTTACTTCGCGAAACTGTTACAATGATTGAGGCTCGCGGTTTAAGGATTTCGCACGCGTGAGACTAATGAAACGAATCTTAACTTTGCTCGTTAAGATTATCGCGAACTCTCGAATTTGCACTATTTTTACTCTCCGTATGACGCTCCGATCACTATGATGGAAAACGGAAGACTCTCGGGGAGAAAGCCTTTCTCCCGATAGATAAAGATTTGATCACGGATCGTATGATCGGACCTCGACGTATCCCTGATCATTACGTCAGATCGCGTGATATGTAAGCCTGTTTATTGGCCAGGACCGTGTATTATTTCGCGTGATCACGCGGATCCTGGATGATTTTTGAAAAACAGTAACGGCGTACGTGAACGCGGGTTCGATAGCGCGCAAACGGATGGCGCTAGTATGACCGGGGGTAATAATTTTATGCGCGATTTAGGGCAAATCCTAAACAATAATGTATAACTTTCGGTATCAAAAAAAAATAAACTAAGAACGAACAGATAAATCTCGGAATATAAACAATCGAAGATCCGAGTTTGAAAGACAAAGGACTTGACTTGTCACGGCTGACGCGAAGGTCAGTGATAACGAAAACGGTCTATTCAAAATGTGTGACTATACTACAACGATGAAAGCGATAATCAAGTGATGTATAATATCTCACAAATCGCGATGCGGAAGCTCAAATGATAATTTACAGCGGGGTACTCTTTAATACGCGAGACCCAATACTCAGTCAAATTTCCGAACACGGCCGGAGTCGTGAGACCCGCTGCAAGATTTCGATGAAAAAGTGAACGGTATTGTTTACAATAATTCACGGTAATTAGCGGTAATCTACTACAGGATAAGCCTCGCGGTCGGCGTACAATCAACACGTACGACTTCGGAACACAGGTCGAGGCACGAGCCTCGCGCGAATCTCGATATTAATCGAACGAAACTAAATCTACTTTTTAACGGTAATTTGCGATACAACTCTTCAAAAGTAACGGATAAGTACAATAATCGAGTATTCTGGTAGTATCGCTTCCACGGCACACGTCTCTCCAAAAATTTCGATATATCTCGAATCGATTTTTCGATACGGTAATCGGCAATAATATTTAACGGTATATTTTTGGCAGAAAAACCAAGGCTTCGGAAAACGGTAGCGGTAAGGATGTTTAGGTGGAACTGTTTATTTTATTTAACGGTCTTATCGCGACCTTGTGTACTCGGCAACAAAGACTCTAAGTCGAACAATAGAATTCTCGAATAATCGATAACAAGAAGATGATTCAGCGGAGATTTCGCGGTAACAAATATTCTTGCAGAGCAAATTGTTCATTTACGGTAACACACGCTCGCGAAGAAATTTTTCGCGTAAATCCCGCTTTTCGGTACACGATACGAAACTGCCCAAAATTGCCGCGTCACGCTAGGACTTAAGCTCGGCACGGATCGCAACGGTACTCTAACGATATTAAAACGGCACGATACAAAATTTGACGATACGGGACGGTACAGAATTTTACGGTACGACACGTGACTGGCGGTACGGACACCCCGAGAGGGACAAATCCGCGTCCCCCGGTGTCAGCTGGCGTCCGGTAACTAACGCGAGATAAGCACACAGGCTTTCTTCGACGATAGTGTGAGAAGGCCGTCGCCCTGCGACGGTATACGGAATTGACGCCAGCTGTTTCCGGGACAGAAAATCAAAAGACTGCCCGTGCGGCTTACAATTTTCGGTGGCGGCTTCCACGTCGATCGTCCAGTCAATGTTCGCCCTTTAGTCGTGGGATCGTCCTCGTCGGCTCGCGACTCACCGCACAGTGACGAATTTCAAGTGCTTCCGTGAGGTCCTCGGATCCCGCGCCGATCTTCCGCGCATTTCGTCAATTTCGGATGAACGGGGGTTGATTCTCCGCCCCCTCCCGAGTCATAGCTGTTGAACGGCGTTGCCCTTATGCAGGGGCCCAGAACCCACGGGCGACGGTATCTCTAATTCTTGGAGACGGGACCGGCTGGCCAGGCTGTATCCTCGTCTTTTTCGGAATCTTCTTTATTCCCCAGTCGGCCGCCTGGGAGGTTGTCTTCCGCCCCGCCGTCCGGGTGTCCTGCCGTCTTTTAATCTGAAATAATGTAGATTTACTCTCCTGCAGAATTAAGCATAGCTACGGTACGGGATCTCATTACATGACCTTTTGTTTTCTTGCGGTATCTTCGGTATCTTCTGCGGCATATCCGGTATCTTCCTATACGGCTCCCTCTCCTTCCGGTATCTTGCTGTATCTTCATGTACAAAGGAGATAACGCACACTCGCACAGCAGCCGCACTTTATTCGCGGATCTTACATTAAAGCTAAAATAAATCTTAAAATTACGAATAAATTCATATTTAAATTCCCTCTCAGGCGCGAGGAACGATCCCGCGCACGCTGTTTCCCCTTGACAGGGCAATGATGACGGAGCTCACAAGCGTCACGTCACAGCACATATATCTGATCTATTTGCAGGTTGTTGATTTGGAAGTAAATTTTCTTTAATTTCGCGCCAATTTGGATTACAAATCATAGTAACAAAGACATTTGGTTTTCCATATTTCCGAACAATAGCCATCGCATCTTGATAATGTTGCAACATATTACGCGATGAGCCTACAAATGTCGATGGAAATATAATCATTTTTCCAATATGAGCATTATTATTATTGGCGGTGTTTGCTAAATAATCAATTAATCCTTGAAAATTATCAGCTCGTAATTGTTTTTGATTCTGTTTACAATAATTAATTCGATCTTTTTCAATTTTTATATAACTATCAACAAGCCATTGTTGAAATAATCGTATTCCTATAATGAAAATATTAAAATTATCACATATAGCTATGCGATATTTTACATATGCAGCTCTACTTACTCGTTTATTACAATTCTTACGTTGTAAATTATCATGCCATCCTTGATTACCATATGGATAGAATAATGGATAAATCCATGGTTCTACATTTGGATTCATTGTATTGACTTGTTGTAATGTTTTATTATTTTTGTTATATATTGTTACATAAGTTTCCGGAATTTCACCATCTGCCGTAGTAGAAAAAATAGCTGCAACTTCATTTACTCTTTGCACATTGTATGTATCGGCCACGATCAATGCCTTTCTTTGTCAAAAGATCCCAATTGTAACTCACATATATTATTATTTTCAGTTATTTGTTGTTGCATTTGAATTCATGCATCATTCGATATGATTCTGCAAA